GTATAAAATAATAGACCATCTATTAGTTCGTAATGGGCCGCCCTATTTCTTATCGCCACAATATCTTGGTGGCTAAAATTTTCAGGATCCTTCAAATACTCATAAATGCTTCCAAACTCAGGATCCTTACCCAGTTCGGTTATTACAGTTTCTCGGGAATTTATTGTACATGCTGTGAGCATTGCCACCTTTACGGTATTACCTTGTTCATCTATTTTAATTCTGATAGGGCATCTGCTACGATATTTTCCTTTCCGGGGGTATGCTTGATTACCAGATTATATTCTTGCAGCTTGAGTGCCCATCTTATTAACCTTGGGGATAAATTTTTCCCTGAGTACAATCTAGTTACCGCCGCATGATCAGAAGTACACTGTTATTCGGCGCCTTTCCAAAATAGACTCGGAACTTTTGCACTGCTAACAGAACTGCAAGTGCCTCTCTCTCGGTCGCGGAATAGTTTCTTTGTGTTTGATTTAAAGTTCGGCTAAAAAATGCCACGGGCTGCTGATTTTGCGAAAGTACCGCTCCTCCTACCGCATAATCCGAAGCATCCGCTGAAATTTCTAAATTCTCATCCTTTTCAGGAAATTTCAACACAGGGGCTTGCGTTAATGCTTGTTTTAATTTTTCGAAAGCACTATTGGCTTCGGCCGTCCACGAGAATCTTGCCTTTTTCCTTTTTAATTTTAACAATGGCTCAGCGATAGCCTGCAAAATCTTTTATAAAGGACCTATAATATGAACAAAGTCCTAGAAAAGAAGAGAGCTTCTTGCCGTGTTTGGAGTCGGATACTTTTGTACAGCGATTATTTTTGATTCGTCTGTCTCGATTCCTTTTGAGATATTTTGTAACCTAAATATTTTAATTCAGGGGCTGCAAATTTGCACTTTTCGACATTAACTTTTAGACCGGCCTCATTTAATAAAGAAAACACCTGTCTTAAATCCTGTACATGTTGGTCGAGATTATCACTAGTAATAATGATATCGTCTAAATAGATAAATGTGGACTTTCCAAGAACAGGTCTTAACACAATGTCCATGCATCGCTGAAATGTTGCCGGGCCCCTGAAAGGCCAAACGGCATACGCAAAAATGCATAAGTGCCAGACTTGGTTATAAAAGCAGTCTTAGGCACGTCCTCAGGCCTAACCCCTATTTGAAAATAACCAGTCGTTAAGTCTAAAGTCGTCATAAATTTGGTTGATTTTATGTTCCTTAGAATTTCTTCAATAATCGGTAACGGATATACCGGATATTTAGTTATGGAGTTTAATTTACGGTAATCAATAGCGAATCTCCACCTTTTTGGATGTGTCAAAGGATAGTCATTATTTTTCTTACATAAAACCACCGGGCTAGCATAACTACTTGAGATGGGCGTTATGATCTTTTTACGTAGCATATCGGTAATATGCCATTCTATAATTTTTTCCTTATTCTTATCATACCGGTATGGTTTTTGGCGAACTGGCATTGAATCTCCGGTGTCAATACTATGGTTAGTAACCTGAGTAAATCCTGGAATATCACTAAATAACGAAGCAAATTCACTTACCACTTGTCGGATTCTTCTTGCTCGTCATTAGGCAGGTGGTCAAGATTTAACCATCGGCGGTTCAGCCTTTTCTACACGAACTGGTTTCATCGTCAGCTTAAGGGACGCTTCATTAAAATCCAGTGTTGCTTGTGCCTCTGAAAGAAAATCTATTCCTAAGATTATATGTGCTTGCAGATTCTTTACTATAAAAAACATCACCTTTACTTGTTCGTCCTTGATACGGATATACAAGCGGTACTTTACCTATGCACTTACATTTTTCTCCTTGCGCCGCTAACACTGTCGTATTATCCGAATTATATATGCGGTATTTGCGAAAATACTTCCTAAAAAAATCTTCTGCCACACAGGAACACTGCGCGCCGGTATCCAGGAGTGCGGTGGCTGGGATATTATTCACCAACACTTCAATCTTCGGAAGAGTCAAATTTTTCACCATTACTGTATTTAACTTGTAGGAAGAGGGGTTTTCGTGGCCTTCGGATTTCCGCACCCTCCCGTCAGCAGAAATCCGTTTTAGTTTAAATTATTTTTCTTTCCGTGCTTTCCTTCTTTTTCCACTGGCCTTGAGACTTTTTTCCTGGATTGCTATTGAACTGTCGACGTTCGCCGGCTGTTTTTTGAATGCTCGGGTTTCCTTGCCCACTGATTCGCTTTGCTTCCGTAGCCGTGTGCTTGAGTTTGCTGTAGTCTTGGCGTACCAAATTGGTTTCGCTGTTGATATTGGCGTCTTCTTTCGACGTCCGCCGTTCTTCTACTTTCAAACTGGATTGCTAGCTCAAATAACTTTTCCAGTGTAGTCGGATTTCTTAATTCAATAAAGTCTTGCACTTGGGGCAGTAACCTCGGCAAAATCACTTGAATTATTTCAGGATCCGGACGGTTTCCATACAAGAGTTTGAAGACGTGAATTTTTCTTAAAATAAAGCTTGAGAGATTTTCGATTCTTTGTTGATATATACTGAAAAGTTCCGTTTCTAATTTCGCACGATCCCTTACAACAGGGAAGGCTTTTAGTAGGGCAGTCTTGAAATTTTCGTAAGTATAGGTGGGACTTCCTGCTTGACCCAAGAGACTTCTGCCTATACATTTGAACCAGTTAAGCGCTTGGCCCCTCAAAGCGCTGGTAGCTAAGGTAACTTTTTGAAACTCGTGCACGGGGTAGAGCATGAAGTGGTCATCCAATTTTTCCAAAAAACTGGTTACCGGTGAGTTTCCATTAAATGTTGCTTCTGGTTTCATCGAAGCGCGCATGGTCTGGACGATGTAACCAAATCCTTCCAGGGCGGCAGCTGGCATTTCTGGATTCTGAGCCGCTTCTGCAGGCAGCACAGGTTCTTCTTGAAACTCGGCCATGGTTATTCTTCTTCGTTGGGCGCCACTATCAGGTTCAATGTTCCTTCTTACCTTCTTCGGGAACATGCAAGGACCTGACTCGGAACAGAGAGCTTACTAAAGCTATGTTCAAAAATTGTGGGAAGTAGACAGGATACACAAGAAGGGTATACAAAACCCTTTATTTTTCTCTATTACAATAACTTCCGTACTTCGGAATACAAGACCCGCTACTTGGGGTCTAACGTAAAAGTATAAAAAATAAAACTAAACTCTAATTTAACTTTAAGAATAATAAACGTGGAAGATTGGCCTTATATTAACAGGAAGCGTATGTAGCGTAGTACAGAGACTGTGAACACTACAATACGTTTAAAATTTATCAAGAGGATTTAAACCTCTGGCCTGGAAGGCAACCAGCAACTGCGTAACTTCTAAGGTAAGCGGCCTGCTTCGACTCACTGCTTCCTCTCTCTCGCTTGGCAAAAAGCCACAACTTAAATACTTGGCGTTCGCCAGACAAACTTTGCATAAAAACCTTAACGCTTATAATTCTGGTCGGAAGTAGAAAATAAGAAGTGATAGTAAAGATTTAAAATAAAATAAATGTTAGTACAACTTAAAATCCTCACAAGATCACCAAAGCAATATTTACGTTTCCCTAGAGACTGTAATCCGATTGTTGCACTTTGGTAATGTTTTCTCTGTCGCTTCGTCGCTACTAATAAGAAAATTTTCAGTATAGCTGATTGGTAATATCATATTTTCTCTTGTTTGCGGTACAGTCGAGAATCTTAAAACTTTAACTTTTATTATGAAAAGTTTAAAGATCACCGGAATCAAAGACCTGATTCCGGTGTGTCTGTTACGAAGCTTAATTCAGAATTCAGAACTCTAAAAAAAGAGTCCTTGTACATTTTTGATATAGAGGTTAATTCTGGTAGAACATGTTTTTTTTTCCTTAGGTTAACGTATTTTAGAACTTAGCAATATCAGGAACATAGAAATGCTCACTTCCCTGTAATATGGCATTGCTTTTATTGAGTAGCAAGCTTGCAAAGCAATTTAATTTTCGGCTTACGTTTCTCGAGTTTACAGACGTAGTTACGATTTGCAGTTTATTGATTCTCGTCAAGTCTTCTGACTCTTCTAACTTGATAGTAATCCACAAAATTTGTGAATAAGTGAGCTATTACGACAATCTGTGAAGCTTGATTTACACACAACTATAAAGCATTTATTTAACGACTAGCAGTTGGTATCCATGTCATTACTGGTCAGCTTCACACTGATCAAAACATAATGAAACATTCTATGTACTTAGCGACATATATAAATAAAATTCTCTATGTAGTTTTCTTTTAAAATGATAAGCACATCCCTTACACATTACAAAAGCTTTTGGAAATTCAGTTTCAGCCATTTGCATGGAAAAAACGAGTTTTTGCTTGACAAGGATACATTTAAAACTCAGTTAAAAAATAATTACACGTGCTTTATTTAGTATAGATATTTCTTTAAACATCTGCTTTGCTCCTTCCAATATATTTCAATGTCTATCAACTACTATAATGAAAGGTTAAAAACAGAAAGATCGCAATGGCATGATTATTGATATTTTCACATAGAATACCTGCAGAAGAAAGGAAAAAGGCAGAAGTGGGATGATTTTTGTCGTCACCTCCAAAAAGCCTGAAGTGGAAGAGCCCGAAATGGCATCACGAAATTTTCATTGATGCGTAAAGATCGGAGAGACTTCATTTTCCCACAGAACAATATCTTCATTTCGGGTATTTTTGCTACACAATTTTCTGCATTAGATTTCTACCATTCTGGGTTTGAGTTAAGTTATGACCACTTTGAACTGTTTGAACAAATTAACACGAAGGGTCTGAGTCTCACAAGTTTTCATTATACGGGACTGCACCAAAAACACAGTAAAGCGTCGAAATCTTTTACAGGAATTTAGAGAAATTTTTAAAAAATCTACAGAAAGAGTTCTCGGAATATTACAGTCTGTAACTGTTGTGTGGTAAACTACTTATTCATTATTTAAAAAATACCTCAAGTATAGAAGAAAAAAAAAGCAATATTTATCTCACCTATTGCCGGTACGTCGATTCGGAAGGTGAAATCCTTACCCTGCTGGTACAGTTTCTGACTGTTCTTCTTTGTGACGCGGTATACTGTAGCCATGAGAGCGTTGGGGTCGAGATCGGTGTTCGTGACAGGATTCAAGCGGAGCTCTCGACCTCCACTTCCTAATACCATATTCCAGGGAAGGCGCTCTGCAGAAAGGATTGTGGTTAGCCTACATTCTGGACTGATACAATTAGACAAGGCCACATTTGGATTTCAATTTGGACTTCAAAAAGATTAGAAAGAATTTATATATATATATATATATATATATATATACAATATATTTGGAATACTGGACATGGATACAATCGGTGTGTTTCCTGTTAAATTAATTGCTAAAGTCTAAAACTGTCTAAATCGTATTCCTTATTTTTTATTTAAGATACAAGAATACGAGATATTAAATCATAAAATTTAAAACTTTTTTCATTTGCTAAAACTGAATGGCAGCTTACCAGTTCGGATAAAATCTGAGGAAATTGTACATATTACTATCTTCCTATTTGGCATATGCTTGCTCATCATTATTAAACAAATACTTCTAAGAATATAAAACTGAGTTATTGTTTCGAAATCAAAGGAACTTTAAGTACCTTTGAAACAACTGTATTTGCCTGAACTACAAGATTATTCATACGTTCAACATAATTTACTTTTGGTTGATGTCCAGCTCAAACGTGATGTCCCATTTCAGCTTTTTCCACCTCAGGTCTTCTGGAGATGGCAGCAAAAATCATGCCATTTCAGGTTTTTCTCCTTCCCTTCTTTACGTGTTCATAGTGAGAACTTCAGAGCATTTCAGCCTTTATTTCACTTTATGAATAAATTCTTTATTTTCGTTAAAAAATTATTTTATAAAAATCATAGCACATAACTTAAAATTATGTTAACTGTGAACTGAATTCACGTCATTGGTTACATACTAAATCTATTCTGCTAATGAGCCATCGTAGAGCAAGAAGACGCTTTCATTGTTTGCTTTGGAAACCGAAATTCAAAAATAAAATTCACTAACATTTATAATAGCTCCGAAAAAAGTTTATAATGAAACAAAGAGAACTGAGTAGAAGATAATTTTAAAGTGGATGGTTACCACTTATTTCAACTGGAAAAAGCTAGCGTACGACCTCTATTTGAAACAAATGCAGTAATTCTTCAGCATATTGTCATAGAAAATCCATTTTTGTGTATATGGTTCAACGTTTTCCTATCTGACGAAAAGAACGTTCTCAAAGAATTTGTCACTAAGGTAAAAAAGGAATTCATTACAGTAAATACTTTTACAGAAGCATCAGTTACAATTTTCGAGAGGCTTTAGAGCGTTAGACTTTAAAAAGTTGAATGCTAGCGCAGTCTTCCAAAGTCCTTGAATCGTATTCAAATTAAAAAAATACATGTTTTCTGTGTTAGTTCATCACCATTATGTGTACTAATGCTGTATCTGAATAATGCTCGCACTCGAAGTTTAAGGAGCGAAACGTCATTGTGACTTTTAGTGCATAGTGAACAATTACGCAACCTCCGATCATATTTTCGGAATTAACATTGACCCTGGGAAAAAAAAAAAAAAAAAAAAAAAAAAAATCTGAAATGTTTCAGATTTTAAATTACGTCCAAAGGGGCGTTTTTTAACATTTTGTGTGTTACCATTTCTTTATTAAATATCATGTTCCTCGCACTTAAACCATAAGATCCAGTGCAACAGCAATATCGCAAAATAGTTTTAAAACGAGCATATCTTTAGAATTTCCGATACAGAGAGTCACGCGCTGGAGATAAAAATGTTTTTTTCTGCACAACGTTGCCATTGCTCGCTTTGAAATCCTTGAGTTTGTTAATCAAAAATTCGTCAAAGTTTTAAAAAATAGGAAATCGATCATAAAACAAATTTCAAATTTGGTCTTCCACATGGTCATATTCGTTGGAGGATTACGTTATTCAAAATTCGATGACTCTATGTACCGTTGTTTTATCACAATACGAGAAATATACATACATTTATGCAGATTTTTCATTATTTAATTTCTTCAAATATAATGCAGGACTCTAACATTTTGTGGCAACAGTTTGAAAAGTGAACCGACATTTATGAGTCCGACGCAAAATGCCAAAACGAAACTAATAGTCCTTCGGGATTCAAATCCCTTTGGACTAATAAAAAAAAAAAAAAAATAAAAAAAAAAAAAATCTGATGTGTACATCACATGACTTCCTTGTATTGGAATATTGAATTATACACATTTTTTCTTGCATTTCATTTAAACTTATTGGATTGAATTAAATCTACTTCGCCGACAGCGCATAAACCACAATAGAATAAATGCATTCTTTAAAATTCACTCTAGTATTTGTTTACCATAGCGACACTCTGGCGCTAGATTCACTTAACAGTATTAATAATTATATAACAGATAACTTATATAATAATTATATAACGGAAACTAAGTTAACTGTTATATAATGCAATAATTATATACCAGTTAACTTATATATTTCTTTCATATTATAACTCATAATGCACAAAATTTATATCATTTAAAGAATAGAATTATCTAACCGTTGCCACATGTTCTATTCAAATACTATAATAAAGCTAGAATGATGTATAAAAGAAATTAAGCAAACAAAACAAAAAAGAAACAGTTTTTCACAGACGATTGAGTATTTCTCATTTATTTAATTCACTTCGCGAGAAGGCAAAAATACATAAAAACTCAAAATATCTATATTAAAAATTGCAAAGTAAATCTTAAACACTTATTTCCTCGAAAAAATTCCAGAAAGAATTAAGCATGATTTAATTGGCAATAATAAATGAATGCGTTATCTTTGTTGTTGCGAAGCTAAGTTTCTGTAGATTGGCAACAAATCCACTAGTCTCCTGTTTCAAATATAAACATCAATGGCCGCCATTAAAAAAAGGCTTAGTGGCACTTAGACAACTTTAAAATTGTTGATAATTCTAAAAATATTGCATACAGATTTACTAAAGGCATAAAAACCTTAACCGGAAGATAAAAACAACATAATTCAATAATTTTTAAAGCAAAAAATGTACAATTTACAAACACATAAGAGTAAAGAAACTGAGATCACTGAGCCGGGTAACAGAGTGGATATATTTATAAATATATTTATATACGTTTGGCGCTGCCGATTGCAACCAAAATACGAGGTGCACATCTACATGTTATAGTAGTCTATATACAAATTTCAACGTTCTCGAGGCTACTCGTTTTTGAGTTATGCGAGATACGTACGTACGCACGTACGTACATACGTTCGTACAGACGCCAGGAAAAATTCCCTTCAGAATACATTTCAAAGCAGTTTTTTAGTTTTTCTGGAGGAAAAGAGTCTTTTATTCTGTCCTTACGTACAGATATCACGCAAAAAGTTCGTTAAATTGCATTCAAAAGCCGTCAAAGTGGATATTTTCGTTTAAATATGCTGCCTGAAGCTTTTCGCGATTACAATACTTCCTTTTTACTTCGTACAAGGAAGTAAAAAATCTGATGTTTACACCACATGAATTCCTTGTACGGAATATTAAATTATACGCATTTGTTTCTTGCATTTCTTTTAAACTTATTGGATTTAATTAAATGTACTTCGCCGACAGCGCGTAAACCACAATAGAATAAAGGCATTCTTTAAAATTCACTCTATTTGTTTAACACAGCGACACTCTGGCACTAGGTTCACTTAACAGTATTATATTTCGTTCATATTATAACTCAGAATGCACAAAATGTATGTAATTTAAAGAATTATCTAATCGTTGCCACATGTTCTTTTCAAATACTATAATAAAGCTAGAACGATGTAAAAAAGAAAATAAGAAAACAAAACAAAAAAGAAACAGTTTTTCACAGACGATTGAGTATTTCTCATTCAATTAATTCAGTTCTCTCTTTGCGACAAGGCGAAAATACATAAAAACTCAAAATATCATTATCTTTGTTGTTGCGAAGCTTAGTCTCTCTAGATTGGCAACAAATCTACTATTCTGCTGTTTCAAATGTAAACAAATATGTCCACCATGTTATTTAAAACTTAACCGCACTTAAACAGCTTTTAAATTGTTGATAATTGTACAAATATTGCTTCCAGAATTACGAAAGGCATAAAAATCTTAACCGGAAGATAAGAACAACATAATTCAATCATTTTAAAGCAAAAAAATATACAATTTACAAACATATAAGAGTAAAGAAACTGAGATCACTGAGCCGGGGGTAACAGAGTGGATATATATATAAATATATTATATACGTTTGGTGCTGCCGATATCAACCTAAATACGAGGTGCACATCTACATGTTATAGCTAGTTCTAATATACAAAATTTCAAACGTTCTGAGGCTACTCGTTTTTGAGTTATGCGAGATACGTACGTACATACGTTCGTACAGATGCCACGAAAAATTCTCTTTCAGAATTAATTTTAAAGAAGTTTTTTAGATTTTTTTGGAGGAAAACGAGTCTTTTATTCTGTCCTTACGTACAGATATCACGCAAAACATCGTTAAATTGCATTCGATAGCGGTTTTAAAATGATATTTCGTGAAAATGAATATGCTGCCTGAAACTTTTCGCGATTACAATACTTCCTTTTTACTTCGTACAAGGTAGTTTAAAAAAACGTTTTTTCTGTATTGCTGTTTATATTTTGACAGATTGTTATATTTCACAGTCATCTTTACAGCCGGTGTTTATTTAACTACGGGATTCAAATACAACCGGGGATACAGTTCAAGCATAGATTATTTATGTGTGTAGTGTTCAGCATGCATAGGATGGCTATAGTCTCATGTACACTCGTAAAATATCCCCGAAAAGTCGGTAATTTTGCCGCATGTTGAAATTGGGGATGCGAAAAAGCAGAAAGTACCAAAAATTCTTTAAAAACGAAAATTATGATCTTACCACGTATTCGTTTCTTCCTCTCGAATGGTAAACTGCACTGATTGGAGCAGCACTGGCGTAAAACAATCCTGACTGTATTCCGAAGTCATTGCTTATCCCTCCAGAATCACGTCGTATTCTTTTGTGCCTGTAGTGGTTGCTTCCTGAAGCCTTACTACAAACAAAACCATCGCCGACGAAATCTGGTCCACAGAAACAATATCCGAATGCAAAAAATGTACAATTTACAAACATATAAGAGTAAAGAAACTGAGATCACTGTGCCGAGTAACATAGTGGATATATATAAAAAATATAGTATTATATACGTTTGGTGCGGCCGATTGCAACCAAAATACGAGGTGCACATCTACATGTTATAGCGTCCTATATACAAAATTTCAACGTTCTGAGGCTACTCGTTTTTGAGTTATGCGAGATACGTACGTACCTTCGTAAGCACGTACGTACATACGTTCATACAGACGCCACGAAAAATTCTCTTCAGAATTAATTTTAAACAGTTTTATAATTTTTTTGGATGAAACGAGTCTTTTATTCTGTCCTTACGTATAGATATCACACAAAAACATCGTTAAATTGCATTCGATAGCGGTCAAAATGGATAATTTCGTTGAAATATGCTGCCTGAAATTTTTCGCGATTACAATACTTCCTTTTTACTTCGTACAAGGAAGTAAAAAGGAATAAATGAAAGCTGTTTTTCACTTCACTATTGAAAACGCCTGAAATGGAGCGATTTTTTAAAAGCATCAGTTGAGAAAGCCTAATATGGGACATGTTTTAGTTTCGTAATATACCCTTATTTTGCTAGCAAACATATTCTAAATTTTTAGATCTAACCAGCAAGAAAACTCAGAAACATTATAAAAGATTTGAAAAAAAAAAAAAAAAAAAAAAAAAAAAAAAAAAAAAAAACCATGGAAAAGAACACTTACAATAATACAATTTCGCTTCTCAGCTTTCTTAAATACATACCATGAGTTATTTCTATGGAAAGTGGTCTCTTTCTGTTCCTCTTGTGGTACAGCTTCGACCAACGGATGATAAAAGATGAGTTAGGACCGTTGGATCCTATGATGTTTGTTTCCAATGTAAGTATGTCACCAACTTGTCTTTCAAACCAGCACGTCTGTTGGTTCTCGCGATCGCAAGAAGATCCAGATTCTATGAAAATATCATCTTTTTCGTCTCTGCATTTGGAAACGAAAGAGAAGCAGATCACCTAGAAAACCTTATAATTTAAGATTACAAAATCATATTAAATATTACTTACGAGGGTTATTAAATAGAGTGTTTGGAAAGTTATGGCAGGTTTTGGTGTTAGTTTATAGAGTAATGAATGCTAAGTCACAAGCTGTGGGATATTTTTCCTTACATTATTAGGTCGCAAACATTTCGAAAAATTTCATAGTGTTTCTTTGGTGTATTAGCTCATTTAATGGTATTCACTGATAGTCCGAATTCCAACATCCAGTCCGAAGTTTAAACTTTGCAACAGCTGCAATGACTCCTTAATTTTATGTGATCAAATTTTGGTATTTTTCTCAACATGACACTAAACTAAGAAATTCAGTTATAAGATACAGATATCGTGGGGACAAGCAATAAGTCCATTTCGCAAAATCTACGATCTTGAAAAATGAATATTAGATGTATGTGTATGTTAGATTGAAAAAACATTGAAATAAACGGTAGCGTGCATTATGGTGAAAGATGATAACAATCGGATTCTTATATGGGTTTGATTTGGAAAAATAATTGCGCTATCTTTAACAGGAAAAAAGAATCCACGATTATTTCTCGGACACCCTGTGTTTGGCAGTTTAAGTGAAAGTAACTCAACAAATTAAGAAAGTATATCGATTCAAAGTCGCAAAAACCTTAAGTTGTGAAGTATCTTTGTCATAAGTACCCTTTGTTTAAAGATTCGGATCTGTTGGGATTATGTTCCTAAACTCTGGAGAAAGGTTGGGCAATCAGAAAAAGGCTATTTTAGATTTTAGTGTTCTTATTCTATTACGAAGGCGTTTATCCGTGCTTTTTCTGGCAAATTTTCCTTAACATTCTTTCCCTTTCTTAACTGAGTAGAGAAGAAGATTAAAAACAAATAACTTACCCATCCTCGAATGATCTGTCCTCTAAAAACATACTCTCTTTGTCAGATTTGCTGTCTGAAATGTCAGCATCATCTTGATTTTGCTGAGTAGTTTCCGACGTTATTTCACCATGAACTGTGGAGCTGAATATTTCTTCTGTAATCATAGATGTAGTTTCTTCACCATCTTGAGTCATGGTTGAGGTGCTTATTTTCTTTTCTCTACCTACAATGTGCTTTTTTTTGTTGGCCGCTGCTTTTAAAATCTTCGAAGCATTTCTGTGAGCGATGAAAGGTCGTTTGCGAATTTTTGTCTGCACTTTCAAAAGTGTTTTATTCTTTTTCTTGGAACGCTTGTATACTTTTTTGTTGAAGGAATCAAATCTCTCTGAATAATGTGAATCTCGTCTAGATATATTTGCAGAATCTGGATTATTTAATAAGCGTCTCCAGATTTCAGATTTTAAAAAAGATTGTTTTCCTTGCAGTGCCAATGGACTACGGCGCGAAAAAATCTCTTTTTCTTTTCTCTGCATAGAGTCTGCATGTGTGAAACTGGTATTAAATAAATAAAATATGTATAATGAAGAAACTATTTTCTCAATCAACATTTCTTTATACCTAAAACGGAAAATTCATTTATTGCGATTATAGTTAATGTAAGCAGTTTGAATATTACATATAAAAATGTCAATGCTTAGTATACATATTTTAAGAGTGTTTTAATATAGCTACGCTTAGTCACGTTTATTTTCAGCGTGTACAAAAAATTATTTACAGATTAGCAGCTTGCTGGTTCAAATTTTGTGAGATTGAAGTATTTCTTTTTACATAAAAATAGCTATTGGTCAGACTCCTCCACATTAGTTGTAACAGAGGTAAAATTCTCCGATATATGTATACTTGTATAAGTCAGTTCCAAATACTTTTCAAAGGGATTTGCAACGTCGATTATGATATTTCATTCATTATGAGCACTAAATTATTTTTATTTGATCTATTCGAAAGTGAAATTGTATCTTACTGCAATATATCGCTATTTCTTTTAACATTTAAATAATTGTATAGACTCACTAGGTTATTTTGAAGCAGGAGACGTGAAAAATGGGCATTGCTGTCCCCGGGACTCGAACCCTGGACCTCTCGAAAACGCATCGAGTATGCTTCTAATTACACCACGAAGATATGCGGAAAGAAGGAAAAAATACTCTATCACTGAAATATAATAACAAAGAGAAGACAGCTAAAATCAACCTTTAACGTTAGCTTTTCTTCAATGTTGTTGTTGTTGTCACAAGCTTTCCATCAATGAACTCTAGAAGTGAGCTTGAGATATTAAATTACATATACGTACAAAATTGAGAAGTGTGTGTTTTGCTGTTTGATTAAAACTGGGATCAAAATAACATAAAAGATTACGAGATATAGGCAAATTATCATATCAAATTTAAAATTAAAGACAATTTTTATTGAATGGTCAAATGCAATGCTTTATGCAGCAAACTGCCCATATAGTATCGCCAAAAAAGAAAGCTGGTCGTTTCTCATGAGGAGATTATGCAAACAACTACCTTTGATTTGGAACTGCATTTCCCTTGTCACACATAGAGACGCACATATGGTTCTGATTCATTTCCTTTAATAATAGGTCTACTTGAAACTATGGAATCTTAAGTTATAAAGGATTTGCATCTCAGCCCAAAATGTGTCATGGTTGTGGTTGCAACCATGAGACATTTCTCATATATAAGAAGACCAAAATCATCTAATTTGTACACTGCAAGGGATAACCAATATTTAATTTTATTAACAAGATACAGGATAAGCATATTTATCAAACTTCCTAAGGTTAAATATTGTTTGAAATCCTAAGGTTAAGCTTGTTTGAAATTTTTCTGGCAATTTCGCTGAAAAAGGATAGGTAACTGATCTCTATTCTACCAATGACTCAGATTCAAGACTCTTTACCAATGACTCAGATTCAAGATGTAAAGTAGCAGAAGTTCTTAGCTTACCTGAAAAGAACTAATAATACAGTATAAAAAGCCCTTATTGCTGTATTCCTTTGTGAAGCTTCTTCGAAGCGTTCTTGAGCATAACTTCGTGTTAATAAAAAATAATGCTCATCTGCACTTGGATGTGCTTGTTACTTGGATGAGCTTGCTGGGCTAGGCTTGTTACCAGCTTCCTTCAGGCTGAAGATATTCAAAAAATGAACTGACCAACCAAATCTCCATGCATAATCCCTCAGAGGATGCACAAAGCTACCTTAGCAAACTAGTTGATAGATAGCAAGTGATTAATCTTGACTGCTGAACTTGTCTGATCATAACATAAATCGTCTTATTCATTTTTAAAAGCACATCCAACCGCATAATAAATATATCTTTCGTGTTCAAGAAATTTTACCATATTTTCCATTCTTATATTTTTCGGTATAGACCTAAGGACTCATGGGTCTTGGGAATGACACAAAGAAGGATGCGCCGGAAAGATCGACTTAATGAAAAAGAAATAACTAAGCATTTTTTTCCTATCCCACATCTTCTATTGAAAAACATTAAAAGGGTATTCTAAGACAGGGAACGAAGCATGTTTTAAAGCGATCTGCTAAATTCCAAGGGGCTGCTTTTTAATTCGAGTCGAAGCCAAGTCTTTCAGTATATTCCTAGAGAGGCTTAATGGCCTTCTTTTCAACATACTATGAAGCTAAGAAGGCCTATGAAGGAACATATTATGAATTATATAGAGTGATTGAACCGACGTGTAATGTTAACTGGTCTGTGATCAAAGTCAAGAAAGTTGTTCGTGCATATTATACCTTCAGGGAAGAATGATACACATAATCGCGAAAACAGAGCAATAGGAACAACAGAGTGCAACCTGGTCGTCTTTAATGTTGCGAGCGCCGTTTTGAGCAATAAATGCAACGATTCGGTTTATTACGGAGTCTAAAAGATTCCTAATATTGTCTTGTGGCACATGGCTTAACAGTTGTTCGATGGTATATTTTAAATTACGGATACAACAGCGCAATGGCAGATGAAGATTCAGTTAGTTGCCAATGGGCTTGATAGAGCATAATGAGCGGAGAGGCCATGGAAATAGCTGGAAATGATGTAAGCATTCCTGGGTAAATCAAGTCGCCAGATCTAATTTTGTTGAAAAATCACATCTGGAGTCCCATTCCTGTTTAGACCATCTCTACCTCTTGTTGCGCTAGTGTAAGAAGATGTTCAGTTGATCTGCTTTGGCAATTGCCCTTAATTCTTCTGTGTAATAACGTTATAGGGTGGCTCTTAGGTTTTTTCCAGTCAACCTCTGCTTCTGCGAAAATAATTTGAGAGTTCTGTTTCTTATTAAGGCAATTTTGCCGTAGCATTGTTTGTCTCCTCTTCCATTGTTTCTTCGTTGCTGCTAAGAAGCTTCCTAATTCTTTGATTTCCTCACTTCATCTGACTCTATGTCAGTTGATTTCCTTTTGGCAGTTTTCGTGGTTTTTGCTGTTTCTGAGTATTATTATCTATTATGATGGTTATTCGTCTGCTTGAGTTCCTACTACAGGCGACTCTGATTCGGGGAACTTTAATTAGGTACAACCTGCATATTATTTCACATTAACTTGGAAATAAATAGAATTTTTCCCCCTCTCAGTAAAAAAATATAGACGTTCTGAAATTGTTGTTTATTATACATTATGATGAATTGAAAATGTTCTTTATTATACATTATGATGAAATTGTGGTCTTCTAAGCTTTTTTCTCTGTCTGTAGCTTCAATTTGAAATTGTTAAAACTAGAAATATACATATGTTTATTATTAAGAAATTTTAACTATTAGGATTCGATTTATGCGGGTTATGCGATTTATGCGATTCGTGCGGGTCAGAACAACAATCGAATACCCTGCGTATCGAGGAAGGTCAGAACATGACGTGCAACATGTGGTCTTGTATTATCTTGTTAGAAGATGGCTTTTGGCAGGCCTCGAAGATAGAGCAATACCATTGGACGTAAGAAGTAAAAAATGTACCGATCTGCATTCAAATTACCGTCGATCCGAACCAGAGATATGCGTGTCGTGTATCAAATGGCTGCCCAAACCACCATACCAGGTGCAGGGCCCCTATGCTGATATTGAATGCAAGCAAGCGACGTGCGGTCTCCTCGGAACCTCCAGTTACGTATACGGGCATCAGAATATTGCATGCAGAACCGGGACTGTTAACCAGAAAACAGGGGCTCCATTACCTAGCTGACATGATGTCTGCCTTACACGGATTAAAGCCCCTGTCTCCAGAAGCTATTTATTATAACTAAGCAGAATAAGTTTACAGTGGCATACAAGGCCTTCAAGAACACAAAAGACATAAGTAACATAGTCATTAATAAACCCTAAAGAAAGCATGTTACAAGTAGTACCTATAGCATTCAAACAATAAACAGAGTATACTTTCATAATTTGTACTGAAAATACGAAATACTTTCAAAACTGAGTCCAACTAATTTAAATAAAAACTATGGTACAAACAAACAAACAAAATATAATACATCCATTACTGTATTATACACAATTAATTTCAATTTGATTCACAATATCAAGAAGAACCATTCAATTTAGAAAAAATGCATAAAGATAAACTAAGACAATAATAAACTACCAAATAAAATTTCTTCATATGAATTCAGAATTAAGAACCAATAACTTTGATAACTGAACAATATTATCATAAAATACACTGAACCTGAGATATTATTACAATCGAAAACATAAATTTGGTTTAAAAACAAAACCACTCCAAGTAATATAAAAACTCTACATCAATTTGCTGGCAACGCGATAGAAATACAGTACAAGAATAATGCCAACATAAAGATATGAAAAATTTCAAATTCAAAAACCAAATGCATTCAAAAATAAGTCAAAGAAAATTATTATAAAATACTGCCTTAAATGCACATTTTACAATAGAGAACTCAAGTAAAACCAATCAAATTCACAAAAACAGGTCAACTATTCAATTCAGAAAAGTGCAAAAAGGTATACAAAATAATTATTCTAGATTAGGTTTGCTGGTATCGCTGAGATAAATGCAATACTAAAAAATGCCGACATAAAATTTTACAGAATTTCAAAATCAAATACAAAATGCATTCAAGATTAAAGCAAAGAAAATTAATATAAAATAACTATCATGAATGCAAATTTTTATAATAGAATGCACAATTAATGCCTATCAAATTCGCCAAAGCGAATCAATTCAATTAAAAAAGAATGCATTAAAGTATGCAAAAGAATTAAAATTGTCACAAAAATTTTCTGTTAAATTTAATTAACAATTGCAAAACTGAAAAAAAAATAATCATGATATATATATGATTAAGAACGATTTCAGTACCATACAACAAATACTATGTGCGTCACAAATAAAACCGACTATTTGTACAATATAAGAAAGTAATAGGCTACAAGTAACCATTACAATTTATTAGAGCATAGACGCATTCAATGTCAGATACGTCTGTTTTACGTAAAACCATTTCTAATTTTAAATCAGTAACATAAGTAGTGGAAACAACAAAACTGAACAATAATAAGCATCAAACACAATAAGTTAAACAATTACCATTATGCAGTAAAAATCTAACAGTCGCTGAAAGTCAATTACTCACTTCCAATAGAGATGATCTGAGAGAATTATTTACAGAAAAATTTAATTCCTGACAGAAAAGCATAATTTCCTTAAATTTCTTACTCTCACTAGAGTTTTTTAATATCAATTCAGCCCATTTTGGCCTGTGTTGATCTAAAGGTTTATTCAAGTGAAGTTTTTTAGTAAATGAACAGTGAAAGATAAAGTGTTCAGGGTCTCCCAACTCTCCGCAAGAACAAAGCTCAGTCGTACGTAGTCCAAATCGAAAGAGATATGTATTAAAAGGTCCATGACCAGTGAAAAATTGAGTATAAAAATTCGATGTGTTTCTTTGACTGAGTGAAACTTTTGGAAAGAAAGAGAAGACTCTTCTTCCTGTGGAGTCATTAGTCCATCTTTCCTGCCATTTCACAAGCAGTGCATTTAAAGTCTTGCTCTTCAAGTGTGAA